TGAGAAAATCTACAGCTCAATCTATATTTTGACGACAACTATTATTATAATTAAAAACGAACCAGAAACATAGTAAGAAAAGTGCGAATTATCGATCGAAATTTCGTTTTTCGTTGAATTAGAGTAGGCCTCCTGATCCTTTGATTTCAGCCGTGTGCTCTTTTGACGCTAATTTTAATGTTTGGTTCACATTTCTCATATTTGTAAATGGTTTATCTGAAAATGTCATGTGAGACATGCATCCGCTATCCAATATCCAACCGTTTTTCATTTGTTGTTGATTTAAAGAAAAACATGTAAAGTTATTCTTTTCCTTTTGATTTAAACTATTTTGTCTATAGTTTGAATTTTTCTTGTTCTTTTTGTTTTTATTTTTAAACCAACAGTTTTCTTGTTCATGTCCCTTTTTCTTACATATTTTGCAGAATGCATAAAATGTTTCTTCGACATTACGACATTTTATATTTGATCGGCAATTAACATAAACAAAGTTGGAAATATGATTAAATAATAGTTTTATTTGGTATTTACATAAAAGACCTAAAAAAATAAATATATTTTTTACAAGACAGTTAACAATGTCAACTACTCTCTTTTATAGTCATAGAGATCTATGAAGAGTGTAAAGACTCTTTATTACTCGTGGTATAATAAAGGCTGTCCTCTTAACAGTAATAACAGCATGCTTTTTATTCTTGACCCTTCCAGTTACAACCGCAACAGCTTAAAGAAGTTTTTCAAAATTAAAACTGATAAAAAAATTACCTAAGAACTTCTATGGGACGTAAACGCCAGTCAGACCTGTCACTATTGTCCATAGAGGCAGATATTTAATAAATCAGTTTGCCGAAAAAAGGCAAGGAGAGTGTATATATCATTTGAATTGTTTGTAAAAAATTTGGAAAATGTGACAGATAGATAACTATGATGAATAAATATTTCTTTAAATTTTATGCAAACACTTTTTTCTTTTGTGAGATATCTTTACCCTCCCTAGGGCCCCCCAAACATTTTTTATACGGGGCCCCGCCAAAGCACGCAACGCTACTGATGGGATACTAGGGTAACGGATGCAATACATAATTATAAAGGTATATTTATCTAGAAATATTGATAAATATATCCATGACTCAATACTCATCATACTAACATTTACCCCGCCGTGATTCGAACCCGGGACCTCTGAGTAGACACCTTGAATTCACTCGGCCACGGAGTTCGTCCAATTTAAAAAAATAAATAATAATAAATATTTCGAACACACTTCTATTAACCTAGCCCCAAAGTTAGCACTGTAGGCTTGTGAATACTAGGGTAACGGATAGAGTACATATACTGATACATATATAAGTATATTTTATAGAAACACATATTAAACATCCAAGACTGAGTCACACAAACATCTGCCCCCACCGGGATTCGAACCTGGGACCTCTCGAGTAGGCGACACCTTGCATCCCAGCACACACACCACTCGGCCACAAATTAATTTTATTTGAATAAAGAAACGGTCAAAAATTCAAAAACTTGTCCCGCCGTACATTCTGATTATGAATATTGGCACGATAAGCATTAATTGGCATCCCTGTGCTAGACCCGTTGTTTTCACTAGCCCATCTACTTACTCCTCTACTTTTAAGCCTGTTCTGTGTTATCTAATGGCCCTATGGTAACAATTATAAGAACGGTAATAACTGTAAAAGATCATCCTAGCCAGTTGTTACATGGTTGACTCATTGCTAAAATATTATGTACCCACAGCATTGAATCAAGAATGAGTTACCACATTTCGCAGCACTTTTTATAGCGATTCATTTCTTTGCCCGCACATAGGGGTGCTGGCCCACATTAGACTTTATTTTGGACCGACAATTTGGCGGATTAAATTTTGTATTTTGTTTCTGATCCATTTTCTTGGACGTGTGCGTTGCACTACCTACTGCATTTAGTACATTCTATTTTTCTCCTATAAAAACCGTACGTAGGCACTCTTATTGCTGTATTCATCATGTCTTTAAGGCTAACAACTCACGGCGCGATTTTCTCCTTGCGCCCGCCGCGGCTGCGAGACTGGCAACCAGTGGCGAACTAACAGGGGGGCGAAAGGGGCGGCCCGCCCCGGGCCTCCGGTCTTGGGGGGCCCGCAAATGCCTCCGAGTTCCCCTGATCAAATCCTAAACAAGACTTAAAAAATGTGCTTAGTACCTACATAATTTCATCAAGATCAAAACACTACAGCCATCTAGACTTTTTACGCGGTACTAATATTCTTTTAACTTTGCTGAACGCGTCCAATACGCTGGGGGAATTCCCGTCTTTGAAGCGGGTACTTCCTCAGGATTCACTGATTGAATGAAGTGCAAATTATTTTACTCTTGTACGCCTACATAGAAGAGGCTGCTGGTGGGTCAAAGAGAGTACCATCTTATTTGTCAAAAGGAATACAAAATGAATTTTTTCAATGGGTGATCATGTAAGGCAAATAAATGACATGGATATCAACATCGAGGAACGAGGAAAAAGGAAACTAAAAAGAACGGTGCCGGGTGAATCAGCTCATGGTGCCGGATTATTAATTCGAGAAGAAATACGTGGATCAGTGTATGAATGCATAGACCGATTCATACAAGAATTGTCGACATGATACGAGGCCATGAAACAAATCAATTATATTTTCCAAATTATTGAAACAAAGGTTATGCAAGAAGCTTCAGATGACGCTCTGGCTGTAGCAGTTGACAACCTGATACAAAGTTATGGTGAATTTGACAAGGAGCAAGTTTCCCCAAAAGTGAAAAGGTACCGCAGGCATATAAAAGCTACCGATACGAGTATGGACGTTGCTGCCAATTGGAGAGCCCAAGAAATCCTTCAATTTATAATAAAATGGCCCTCAGCGAATCGTTACCCTGTATATCGCTTATACTTCAATACTTCTTGACTTTTTGCATCTCGGTTGCATCATGCGAGAGGAGTTTTTGGAAACTTAAACTAATTAAATTATGTTCGATCTACAATGGGTCAAGAGTGACTGGTTAATCCAGCCGTGCTTTCGATAGAAAGAAAGAAGAGTTCAGTAAATTGAAGGCACGCAAATAGATATAACACGCTACAAAAAATAAAAAAGCTATCTTTGATTTATCCTAATCACCCATATCTATTCCATGTTGTAGGCATGTTTGTTTATTTAGCCGAAATAATTTAATTCCAATTTCAATTTTACTTGCCACATTTTAACGAAATAAACATTGTAACTACATTTTTTTAAAGCTGTGGGACCATAGAAAACTGCGTTTTTATAAGTTTTGAAATAAAACAGCTCTGCGGCCGCCCGTAGCGGGTCGGGAAAATACCGCTCCATGAGTTTCTTAGCCTTATGATGACTGATAATAATTTGACATTAAAATCTGTATATTTACGCACTTCGAATGTCAACTTGAAAAGTAATTACAGCTGATCGTCAGCACGGTTTTCTCCGTCGTCGCTCCACTATTACTAATTTATCCACCTTTGTGAATTACACTTTGACGAATATGGACAGTGGTGGACAGGTAGACGTGATATACACGGATTTCGAAAAGGCTTTCGATCGCGTAGATCACGTCATCTTGCTTCACAAGCTTTATAGTCTGGGAATCCACGGGGACCTGTTACGTTGGACACAGTCTTACTTAGAAAATCGCTCTCAGGCAGTTGTTTTGGGTGGATATAGATCAAACTTCATTGATATACCAACAGGCGTGCCTCAGGGCTCGCATCTAGGGCCTTTATTTTATAGCGCTTACTTGTATGACATTGGGGTTCATTTAAAACATGCCAAACATTTGTTATACGCTGACGACAAAAAAATTTTTCTTCACATCAAAAATATACGCGATTGCGAATCCCTACAATCTCATCTAGATAATCTTAGCAAGTACTATAAGGAAAACAAAATTACTGTCAATATAGGCAAGTGTCAGTGCATCTCATATACACGAAAAAACAAGCCTATACAATACAATTATACACTCAATAAAAACCCAATCGCAAGAGTGACGGAGATTAGAGATTTGGGAGTTATTTTTGATAATAAGATGACTTTAACACCTCATATTGACTCGGTTGTTAACAAGGCCTACAAGAGCTTGGGCTTCGTTCTGCGTTCGTGCAAACCCTTTAGCGACATGGCCGCCATTAAATCAATTTACTGTGCATATGTTCGCAGTACATTAGAATACGCCAGTCCAATTTGGTCACCCCAATATAGCATACACAAAGATCGTCTCGAGCGAATCCAAAAAAAATTTATTAACCATCTTAACTATCGACAACGTATTTCCCCGGATTCATATCACAGTGGATGTCATCATCATGGCCTCTTTAGCTTAGAGGAAAGGCGGGTACTGCTTGACATGTGCCTACTGTTTGACACCTTAAATGGGCAATTGGATTGCGCGGATTTAGTAGCGGGTATCGGGTTCTGTACTCCTAAGCGACGCACACGCCATACTCCCTTGCTGTGTACACCTAAACACTTCACTAGATATGCTAGTAATAATGTTCTCATTCGTATAGCACGGACATATAACACTAAATTCAACGAAATTGAGCTTTTCGGGATATCGAAACACACATTCAAACAGCGAGTTTTGCAGTTTCTTCTATTAGCATAGACTCAGGTCGCTAGAAACAGTTGGTGATGAAAGAAGATGAAAGAATATGTTCTCCGGTATACAGAATCAATATATTATATATACTATATAAAGAAAATATACAACAGATCATGTCTTCCCACATCCTAGTACTGTTTATAATTCCATAGAAAACCTATTATTAGCCTTATTATAAGATAGTATAGAAAAGATGTATTTTTGTTACGCTGTTGGTTTTCTGAATAAAGTAAATAAATTAGATAATTAAGAAGGAGAAAAAAAAGAGGCGTCAAAGTGCCGATTAGCCACTTTTAATTATGATCAGAATAAATAAATAAAAATTAGGTTAAAATAAAACTCGAAACTGTCACCGACAAGCTTTATTGAACTTTGTTTCTACTTACATAAACGAAACAAAATATCAAACGTGGTCAATATGAATATATTGAAGACACTCTCAAATTCAAATACATGAAAAATTATGTTACAATTTGTTGTTTAAGAATATAATATATATAACCGAATCAATGATAAACGATCAATCGAGAGCCATGCCAGCATCGCCATCCTTCTTATCGTTGCCTTCGTCTTTGGGTTTTTCATCTTTCTTATTTTCTTCACCCTCTTTTTTAGAGTTATTTCCTTCTGACGCACTAGCATTATTTTCTAGAGCCTTGAAAAATGCTTGCATGTCGCCAGTATTAGCAGCAGATGCCACCTCAGCTGGTAACCCAAACTGTGTCATGACCGGACCCATCTGTCCCGAAGTCAGTGCCGAAGAAAACTGGTTCGCCGCCTGCAAATATTTGACAATTTTAAAACAAAATCAGGAACTGTGCCTTTGGTGCAAGCAAAATAAAGAAATATATGACAAGGACAGATGTTACAAAGTACATCGATCTCACCTCTGGGTAACACAGTTAGCAAAGAGAAAAACCCATAACACTATCTTAATGCAGAAGTTAATCTTCGAAATAAAATTTGAAAGCACAAATAATATTATATATTCCATTACAGGTAATCTGTGATGATAACATCGGGGAGTGTAAAACAGTGCAAACGACCACAAAGCGCAAACAAAATCGGAGCATGCAAAGCGATAATCGAGTCATCATTACTGCACACCCGCGACCGCGTCAAGCCCAAGCGCCGAAGGGACGGCCAGCCGTCAGTACTCTTAGCACAAACCATTATCGAATTCGAATAGTTGAATTCGATCTATTTGGTACGTCAAATGTGTAATGATTTTTAGTTCTCGTTACGTACGTCGTGACGCTGCTGTTCAATTTTCCATACAAAGAAAGGAGGCCTTCAATATTTTCCCAATTTTGTACATTGGTACATATTATGTTAAAAAATATCTAAAATTATACTAAAAATAGACTCACTCATCAAAATCCCAAACAACATCAATAATTTTTATTGCAAATTTGAATTAAAATAGGAAATCTGCTTATAAAGAAACGTTATTACTTAGACGCAATTTGTCATTGAGTGACAGCTAATACTATTGGTTTAAATACATTTTGTAGATTGTATTTGGTTATAACAAAAGTTGCGTGATTTCCGTAGATAATTGTTATTAACTCTAGAGTCTAGAGTTTACATTTACCATAATAGATTATCTGTATTGCCATTAAATTTTAATGTTAGTCCGACATTTTTATGTTATATAGGTGAATTATAAACTCGATTTATATTTTTGATGAATTCGGCATATTTTTCTACATCTAAATAAGATAATACTTGAGGTACAAAATTGGGCAGAGTTGTATGGAGAAAGAATAGATCCTTTGACAAAATGACACCTCGCAATCGCAAACTTTCGATTTCGATATTGGTTCGTGCTAAGGGTGCTGATCAGAAGCGGGTGCGCAATACGTGAGGGTTCACCTGCGCGAACTGCGGTGAGAGCAGTGTGGTCCTTACATCGTCCTGAGTGCCGGCGGCGGCGGGGGGCAGGTGGGGCGCCAGGCGCTGCACGTTGGCCGGTGCGGTGGCCGCCGCCACCGCCTCGGGCGCCGTCAGCGCCGCCGCCAGGTCCACGCTCTCCGGCGGCGCCGTGCCCATGCCCGAGAAGTACCGTTGCAGGTCTGATAGGAAAATTTGACCGCCTGTAACATGGCCGTCGGTAACATTTTTAACCTCGATCCGAGGCTCAAGCACGAGTATTTGAGCAGTTTTCATAGAAATTTTGACGATGCGATAAGTTACGGAGCTATCAAAAACTCGTGCTTGGGCCTCAGGCCATGTACCGACAACGTGCCCGATTCTAGGGTTTCTTATACATACATTAGACTCAATTATCCAGTCTTCAGTTATAAGGATTTGCATTTGCCAGATTACCGACTGAGATTTTGTTTTTGTTTGTGTTAATCGAGTGCAGTAGATACTCGATTAACACACACAAATTTTGAAAAGTATGGTCTGTGTGGTGGATTACCCTTAAGGGGGATGAAAAATAGATTACATCTGATTCTCAGACCTACTGAATATGCATATAAAATTTCACGAAAATCGGTCGAGCCGTTTCGGAGGAGTTTAACCACAAACACCGCGACACGAGAATTTTATATATTAGATTCAAACACTTTTTTATTAAGTTTATTTACATTTAACTAAAGTATGTAGGTGCCAATTTGAAACATAATTTTTTGCCATCTTATAGGTAGGGACAAGATCCCTTTGCTATAGAAATTTTAGGGCTTCTGATCAAATAACTGCGGCAAGTGGTTTTGGCAGTCCTCTCGCGTTGTTAACTTAACACTGCCTAAAGAATTCTGAAGAGACTGAAACAGGTGGAAATCTGAAGGTGTAAGATCAGGACTATACGGCGGATGCATTAACACCTCCCACTCAAACTCTCTTAATTTTTGCTGAATAGTTAAAGATTTGTGAGGTCTATCTAGCGTTATCATGATGAAAAACCACACCCCTTCTGTTGATTACTTCCGGCCGCTTTCTCACAACTTCTTGCTTTAATCTCATCAGTTGTTCGCAGTACAGTTCAGAATCGATGGTCCTACCTGGCAGTCGTACGTGATCCCCTTACTTTACCAGTAATCAGCTTCTTCAAAAAAAAAGGAACAGCTGACTTGCCATATTTGAATAAAATTTTAGATTAAAGATAAACTATATATCAAAATAGGTTTTATAACAGCCCCACTTAATCTAAAATTTATATAAATAAAATATCAATGCAAAAGCTACATAATAACAACAAATTAAAACAAAGGTTATCTTAACAATTAATCCTAATCCCATTTTGTTTACACATTTTTTTTGTGCCATTCTACCTAAAGGTTTTGTAAATATATCCGCAGTCCGCACTACGAATATATTATAAAATAATGGCCTTGTCACCTATCTTTTCGCAAATAAAATGGAACTTAACATCTATATGTTTCGTCCTGTTATGAAAAATAGGATTGGTAGCTATCTTTTGAATCACCAAACGCAGCGGCCAGAGTCCCATGCTTGTTATGCAGTTTCAGCCTGCCAAACATCTTCAGGGTAACCAATAATCGTTCGCACAAATCTTCGTGCAGTAAGTACATTTTAATTTTAAATTTCTAGTTGGGATAATCATTTCTACAGTTCAAAACTCTTACCAGCTGAGACAAAAAACCCGTTGCTCTGTGAAGAGACTTATATGTAGTTGAACTTACGGGTGTGATAGAATCACTGTCTCCAGGCATATTTCCAAAAATATTCCCTAAATCCTAAAACACAAATATCTGAACTGAAATAGAGAAAATAGATATCACTAGATCTTCGTGCTGATAACAATTTTTGTTGTAAATTATTGAAATAAAAACTTGAATGTGCGTGTTGTAAGAGTTTTTTAATTGATAGAAAAAAAGGAACAGCACTGTAACAGGGATAAACAAGATTTTGTATAAATATTTGAAATGTTGATGAGTCTCTTATTACTTATGTAGGTATGTCATTAAAACAATATAAAAACAAAATGTAACAAATATTGTTGAAAATATTTGGCCTAGTAACAACTCAATTAAATAATCTCTGGATCCGCCCTTGCCACCGAGATGCTATTAAGGAAACAGAGTTTAATGACTATTTTCAATCCCTTGGAGACAGATTTATTGCAGGAGGTGACTATAATGCCAAGCATACGTTTTGGGGTTCGAGACTTGTCCTACCTAGAGGGCGAGAACTTCTTAAATGTGGATGCAAAAAACATGAACGTGATATCGTCTGGTGAATCGACTTATTGGCCAACAGACAATAGAAAACCCCGACGTTATCGATTTTTTATGTCAGCAAAGGAATCGCAAATAACAATGTATCGTGCCAAACGAACTAATTGGGCTCTATTTCGAGAGCTCATAGATAAAGCATTCCAGGAACCTGTTAGTCTAAAATCAAATGAAGAAATAACAGAAGCGATCCTATACTTCAATAAAAAGGTGCAAGATGCAGCCTTTTTTTTTATTACGCAGGTAAAAAATGCTATTTACAGACGATGGCGCCTTTAAGATGCACACCGCCGAACGGACCTCACACCTGGCTTCCGCAAGTCTTACGGGCGCCCCAGTGGCTGTCCACCGAGGACCCCGCAACTCTTACGGGCGCTTTACGGCATAATATCCGCTAAAAAAGTCCTGCGAATACCCTCTAAGCTGCTTAGCGCGAAGCCGCGGGATCCCCGTTTAGGGATTCCTTCGCGTCTCCGCACCTAGCAGCCTCCCGGCCTAGCCGGGGCTCCACGGCAGAGGTCTCCCGGGGTATCACGGGGACCCCGCAGACGTGCGCAGGTAGGCCCGCGCGTGGGGGTTGAGTACGCGGCTTAATGCCCACCGTACCGCCCCCCGTCCGCTGTGGAGGGCTACTTGGGCGTGCCCGTGTAGCTCCCTCCGCCGCCCCCCTCTTTGCAGGACAGAACTACAAGGGGGGGCTGCCGTCACGAGGTCCGTCGGTGGCCGGCACAGCCAACGCCATGCCGGTCAGCGAGGGACCCCCCGGGTAGGGTCATGGGACGGGCGCAGCCAGAGCGCGTCGCCGCCCTCTCCTACCCGTCCTCCTTCGGCGGGAGGGAGCGGCCAGAGGATCATCCTCCTGCTCCCTCTCGGCCGCCTCCTTCTGCGAGATAACGTTCTCGCAGAAGGAGGCGGCCGCCTCCCATGCCCTGTCACTGCGGCGCATGGCCTCCACCATGCTACGCAGCGAGAGGGCTCCGCATCCCAGCGCCGCAATCAGCTCACGGCGCTGGTGTCGCCAGGCCGGGCACTCCAATAAGGTGTGCTCGGCCGTGTCGTCCGGGGCGCCGCAATGATGACATTGCGGCGTCTCCTCCCGACGTGCGACACGGTGCAGATAGTGACCGAAGCATCCATGCCCGGTCAAGATCTGCACCATGCGGAACGTGAGGCCGCCTCGCCGGCGACCCAACCATTCCTCCTACACCGGACGAATGGCTTCAATCGTCCAGTGGCCGGCGCTAGCAAGGGCGAGTGCCTCATCCCATCGCCGCAAAGCTTCGCTCTGGGCGATGGAACGGACCTGCCTCAGCTCTGCTGAGGCAAGTCTTTCACCCCGCTCCCTGGCCTCGACCCGACCTCGATGCATTTCTGGTGCAAGATGCAGCCTGGTGTTCAACCCCACCGGTACCACATAGAAGTAAGTAGACAACTATGTAGCGAAACACATAGTAGACAAACTGCTCAATCACGCCACCACGCCAGACAGCTGAAGCACATTCTAGACAAAGATCGTAACGACGGATTTCACAGTTATATCACTGGCCTGGATACTACTGCTTCCTCAGATTATTCTTTATGGAAAGCCACCAGAAAACTAAAACGGCCTGTTGGTGTATCCCCCCCCCTTAAGAAAATCTGACGGTACATGGGCACGGACAGACCAAGAGAAAGCCGAAACGTTCTCGAAACATCTTTCAAATGTCTTTGTTCCTTACCCATATGAAGGCTCTCCAGAAGATGCAGCAGAAATTACTGCCCATTTACATTCTCCTACAAACATGGGATTGCTTTTTTTTTGGGAAAATATCAACTATCACTTGAGAACATAATACTCCTGTACAAGGCAATACTAAAGCCCGTCTAGACATATGGGATCCAATTATGGGGCACCGCATCTAACTCAAACATTGAAATCCTACAAAGGTTACAAAATACATCCCTTCGTATGATAACCAACGCACCCTGGTTTGTTCCCAATGAACTACTACATTGTGACCTAAGAATACCTACTGTAAAACAAGAAATTGTCCGCCATACTAAGTCCTATAAAGAAGGCATCAAAAAACATCCAAATGCTCTAGCTCGGCCATTAATGGAGAACCATATCAAAGCGTAAAATACCACAAGATAATGTAGCCAAATCACCGTAAAACATACTGTCTAAACAATGAGGTTGTGACACAGGTCCCATACTGAGCGCGCCAGCAATAGCACCAACCAACATACTGCTGAATGTCCCATGAAGGAGACAGATTGTAGTAAACCGAGAAACAAAATAAAAATTTTAGTTAAAAAGCGTATGCTATGCTACATGCTAGAACCTGCTATGGGTGTAAGTGCCGGCACTGTCACCAGGCTTCATGTCCTGCATCACAAATTCATTTCACAATACTTATACATAAAAACAAATAATACAATTAAAAAAAATATTAGTTCTTGATATTGTGGTTTTATAATTAAAAACTGTTTTTATCCTAATAACCCATTGATATCAATCACTTATTTTTGTGTTCAGCCTCATCTTTAGTATGTTATTTCTTTTACTTCTTGTTCATTAGAAAGGATCTGTCAATTTTTATTGAAATACATAAATGCATCAATAAAATTACCTCTGGGTTGAGTAGCTGTTGCAGTATTGGGTGGAGTAGCAGTGGGTGCAGGTACATCCCGAGCACGTGCTGGAGTCCTTGAAGCAGCTTCTGTGGTACGTGGAGCACTGCCCCCACGAGAGCTGCTGCCACTGCCACCTGATGGCCTTGAGCTAGTGTTGCTGCTACTGTTGTTGCTTTAATGAAATATTAGCATTAAAATACATAAGTATTTTGAAATATGTGCCTATTCAAATAATTCAATATAAGATGCTGAAAAATATCTTTATATTGTGTTATTTTATACTGTATATTGAAACTAATGTAATTCTTACCCCATTGTACCTAACAATGATGACAAGCCACCAATTTGGCCAACACCACCAAATAATTGCATCAACTGCTGCTGGGACATGTTGTTGAGAAGATTTTGCAATTCACCATCTTGACCACTTCCACTTGCACCGCCACGGCTTCCAGAGGTGGGTGGGTTGTTCAAAGCTTCATTAATACGACGACAATAATCATCATCTTTATCAGTTTTAGGTTCCTGTGAATCATTTAAATGATGTTACCTTGTATGTTATAATATTAAAACTAAGATTGTTTTTAACAATACATTGATGATACCTGCATCCAGAAAAAGAACTTTTTAGAAAAAGACTTAAATTTCAGAACATAAACTCTTCCTGTAGTACATTCATTCACTCTGACAAATTCACAATCATCAGGAAAAATAAGCAAATCATCTTCCACTTCTCCTGTAGTCCGGTCTTTCCAGCAGAAGTGCATGAGTGAATCTTCACCCTGATAGACATACAATAATCCCTTTCTTTTATCTGGATGAACCATGCGTCCTTTCAGAGTCATTCTTCCAGCACGAAATTCTACTAAATGTTTGTTTCCTCCTGAACTGCCGCCGAGGGCTGAAGAATTGCCGAATAGCGCTGTAGCTGTCATGCTGGAAATTTAGAAATGAGAAAATTATCGAATAATTGTAAAAACCAGTAATCAAGGAAACCTTTATAAATTTAAAGTACTTACACAGTAAAAATATTTTCTCAATAAGGTAGAACCCTGAAATAAACACAAAATACTGTTTTTTAAGAAGTAATGACTGACAATTGCCAATGGCGTAGGTAACTACTACATGTATTGTATCTACTCATTCACCTATCTTCTTTTTACCTGAGTCACTGAAGCTCACTTAAACAATCAAATAGAGGGTATATCCCTGTTTCACTGGATTTGGATGATTTAAGTTAGTTTCTGAATGATAATTAAAATGTTAGAGTCAGTTTCTTTAGTCTATGGAGATGACTGTCATATTTTTTTTTTGTTGAAGTTCTCCCGTTTTAGGGAAGGCAAAGGGAACAATGCCCATACAGCCTGGTCTTTAGTTAAATTTATCTTCGTTTTATTTTTACATTAGAATGTCGGTGTGACGCATTCTAATGTTTCTTGGAGTGTTTGGCACGAAATGTATCGAGTTGGCTTTTTCGATAAGCTTCTGTGAGGTAGTCAACACTACAATAAAATTCTCACGTCCACTTGACCGGAATAGCGTATATTTTAATGATTCCGCTAATTCTTCAGTTACGCAGACAGTTGTTACACAAAACCACACCAATTTTATTTCACAATATCCACTATGAACGAATTTAAGAATAATTAAAATAAGACGCCAACCGCACTCGATGAAATCCCGCCAAAAAAGAAAAAAAAACCACTGTCATATTTTTTAGGGTTATAATTTTGTTATAATTTTCCAAATAGGAAGGCAAAACAATCTATAAAGATACAGATTTCTTTCATTTAAAATACTATGTTATGTAGAAAAAACAATCCTCATTATTAACCCTTTCGATGGTTATCATAAAATAAATGTGTTTTTTGTTTTCTCATTTCACGTATTTGACATATTTACCATCACGAGTTTGATTCACGTTTTGATGATGACGGCAGGCGATTTTTTGAAAACTGTGAATACAGTTATCCTTATTATTAAAAATAAAATGATGTCTTCTTTCAATGAAATATCCTATCTTCAATATTTAATATACTTTCCCTCCGTGTGACGAACACGCGGGAGACCCTGTTTATTACATAAAAAGAAGAAATAACAGATCCTGGAAAACATCTTGAATTCATGTGGGTTCTCTCCCACTCTGGCATCACTAGAAACGAAATTGCGGATTCTTTAATGAAATTTAATAATTTTACGATACTTATTCATGAACCAGCTCTAATACCTTTTAAGGATTTTTATACTACCTACCATAAAAACAGGGAGATATTGGTAAGAAACACGGAATGTTAAGGGAACATGGCATGGTGAAATCGTGGTATCAATGAATTTAAAAATCCAACAAGGAAGTTTATTACCACAATTAACAATTGCCATCTATCTTAAAAAAAATGTGTGCGTGTACTAGTGTACACACGTAAGAAGTGAAACTAAAAAAACGGCCTTATTTTTCGAAAAATGATCTACATGCAACTTTCCAGAAATTGGTTAAATAAAGTTAAATTAGATAAAGTTTAAATCCTTTTGATTTTATTATCATAGACATGAATACAAATTACTGCCTATGAAACTGTTATGATTACACGGCTCAGTAATCTAAGGCACATGTTCCACCTCCGACGATGAACGATAAGCGAGTAGAAACTAGAAACGAATTGGCAGTCCTGAGTTAAAATGCACGCGCACGGCTTTTGACAGCCAAGTCAGCTTAACCGAGCGAGTATAGCTGAGCGAGTATCGCTGGGCGAGTATTGCTGAGCGAGTACCGCTGAGCGAGTATCGCTGAGCGAGTATCGCTATGCGAGTTTGGCTGAGCGAGTCTTATCTTTAGTAACTATTGTCACTCAGCTACAAACGAGTAGAGAGAGTTCTCGCCGGCGACAGTGTGATCATTCAGCTATCAACTATTAATATAAAAAAAGATGGCGCGTAACGGAAAAATGTGACGCGTAACCGAAAAATGTGACGGTAAATTTTTTTCCAACGCCGATAAAGAAGTTTCACTTCAAAAACACCAATATCTTAAATTAAAATAAAAAGGGAAGATATGGCACCCGCGGCTCAAAAGTGATCCGCTTAAATTGTGGTGCATGAACATAAATATGAGTACTGGCACAACGCTGTCAATAAAAAGAAAAATCAAAGATTATTCTATTATATCTTGTCAATGCTTGTAAGTAATTCGTTTTATTTAACAATGTTTATTTCACAAATTCTTTTCATAATTATAAGCAAACCCTCACAAATTGGTAGCAGAAGTGTGGTTTACTGGAAAATGGGAATCGAAATATAGATTCCGATATCTCGTTGTAGATGCCATTTTCCATACCATTGTCAAATCAAATTACGATACTTGTAGTCTGCAAGCGCAAGCAGTGCTAAAAAACGATTACTGGGATATTGTGAATGGCGAAAAGATAATGGTGTCGATTCTGTCATGATTCTCTAAACCTAAACTTTAATTTGACAACAATGGTATCGATTCTGGCGTGATTCTCTAAACCTAAAACTAAATTTAACATCAGTCTCTCCTTTTCATTCGGTAAAGAGAAAGACAAGGATACAATGTTGTCAAATTTAAGTTTAGGTTTAGAGAATCATGCCAGAATTGACACCAGTGTATCCTTGTCAATCTCTATACAGAATAAAAAGGAGAGACTGATGTTAAATTTAGTTTTTAGTTTCGAGAATCATGGCAGAATTGACACCATTGTCACCACAGGCAAATGATGCAGAGACGTCGGCATTCAACAAAGACGTAAAAGCCAAAGCTGAAATTCTACTCCTGTTCTCGCCGTCGCTCGGAGCTAAAATAGATTAAGACATGCACAACATCCAAGTTAGTATGGGACAAGCTAAAAGCCACTTAACAAAATACCGGGACTGCCAGATGACCACAGACCAAGATATACGCGATCACTTATATGATTTCATGGACGTCGTGGACAAACTCGCTGATATGGACATAAAAGTTATGCATGAATTACTAAGTATAATGCTGCTCGACAGTTTACCTTCTTCGTTCAAAAATTTTAAAATAGCTATAGAATCCAGGGATGTACTGCCAAATATTGTAATAGGCTAGTTTACTCATGTCGAATTGTATTAAATAAATGTTTATTTCTTAAAGTATTTAGTCTAAGGAACCTTAATATATCGATTTCACTCCATAAAAGCAGAAGATTGCTGTAGAAATTTAATTTTAAAAAATGGGTGCGTGTACTTATGTAGGCGCGTGAGAAGTTATCCTTCTTTGGCATCGTTTAAAATTATAAATTTCCTAAGGGAGGCTTCACACTTCACAGAAAGCGAAGACTCCAAAATGGAATGGCATCGAAAGCAAAGACGACCTCATGTATGGTTTGTTACAGGCTGGCTAAGAAGTTAGTCCTGTCTATAAACTGTCATGTTTTTTTTTTTTTTTTTAATTTATTTTAGCTTTGGCTGCTAGGGCCATCAGCTAAAACTTAAGACTACTACTAAAACTGTTACATATTTCTTTTATACAATAGATTAAAATGCTAAACACACAGAAAACAAGCAAGAGACGTCTACAAATATAAATGAACAAAATACTTAAAACCTATTTTAACAAAAAATAAAAACTAAAAATTCTATTTTTACAAAGGGCCAAAAGTATTTACATAAAAGTTATGAATTACATTATATAAGTTTTCTAATTTGAGTAAACCCTGTACAGTTTTTGGCATTTCATTAGTTTTCAATAAATCTGTGAGTAAGCATATAAAATGGAGTCGCTGAATATTAAATTTCTTACAATCAAAGAATAAATGATGGAGATCACAATACTCATAGGTACAATATTTACAAGTTGCATTATTGCTTAACCTAAGACGATGCAGATGGGATGGAAATTTACAGTGGCCTAATCTAAGTCTACATAAATCAGTAATAAAATTTCTGTTTGAGTATGTACATCTCAGCATGCCACTTGCCCTTAAGTTGCCGCGAATTTAATAGCAATGTAGACCAACGTCTAATTTGATTTTCTTTTAGGCAAGTGATAAAATCGCTATCTGGTACCATATACTCTGTAATGGTAGTGATATTTGGAGCTGAACCGGCAAGCTTATCTACCAGCTCATTACCTAATATGCCGGAGTGTCCCGGAACCCAACATAGTTCAACAATAATATTGAGGTGTGCCAATAATTGAATTAAATATCTTAATTCATATATTAAGTAATTATTTTTTTTACCAATATGCTTTCCTTCTATTGCTTGTAATGCACTCATTGAGTCAGATAATATTATAAATTTGGAATTCGGAACTGATTTGAAATTATGAGATATATATTTAACAGCATATATCATACCTAAAATTTCGGCAGAAAAAATTGAAAAATAATTGCTACACGAATAAACCTTACCAATTCTATTACAACTGTCGTAGAAAGCAAAGCCGGTTCTGACGTTGTTTTTAGAACCATCAGTGTATATTTTAACATAATCAACCTTTTCATTAAGAAACTCGTAAAAGTCTTGCTTAGAATAGAATCGAGATATTTTAACTGAAACATCAAATAGTATTGACTGGAAGTTGTATGTAAAACAGGGAAGTAAATTAGACCAATGGATAATGTCTTGGAATTCAAAGTTTAGGTATGAAATCGATTCGCTGATGGAAGGCATTGCTGATATTGGGAGGATATTATAATTTGGAATAGAAAAGTTTTGTAAGTATTTTTCTATCAAAACATTATCTCGGCAGATTAAATTCAAGCAGAATTTTTCTGTCAAATAACTTCTCCTAACGAGTAAAGGTGGTATTCCAGATTCTACTTCCAGGGAATTTATTGGAGATGACATCATGGCCCCCGTAATGATCCGTAGAGCTTTATTTTGTATGACGTCAAGTTTCCTGAGCAGATGATTAGAAGCGTCGACATAAAAATAGCTTCCATAGTCGAATTGACTGCGTATTAAAGAAATATACAAATTTTTCAATATTTTAGGGTCAGATCCCCAACTAACTCCAACTAAAGATCGTAATATATTTAAACGCTGTTCCGCTTTCTTACAAATATAGGAGATGTGATGACTCCATGACAAATCTGAATCAAGCATGATACCTAAATATTTTTCCGAGGTTTTAAATGGAATTAAAAAAATATTGTAATAAATACGCGGATTTACTGGGCAACTATGCGCAAAAAGCATGACTGAACTCTTTTCTACACTAACTTCAAGTTATTTATTCATAATAAGTTCTCCTTGTAAAAGATCAACGCAATCCAAGTAAATAACTATATCATCGGCATACAAAGAGTATTTTACATTATCTGGGATAGTTTTCATTAATGTAACAAGACTTAAGATAAAAATTAAGGGCGATATTACTGAACCTTGGGGAGTCCCTTTAAAAGAAGTACATGGGCCATAAATGTTATTGTTAATTTTTAGAGATATGGAACGGCCGTTAAGGAAATTAAAGATCTATAATAAAACTGAACCGGGAATGCCGAGCGTTTGTAATGTTTGAATTATATATTCATGTTTAATATTATCGAACGCGCCTTTTATGTCTAGAAAAACAGCTAAAGTTATTTTATTTTTTAAAAGATTATTTTGAATATCACCTATCAAACAACCGAGATTGTACATCGCGCTTCTTCCCTTTCGGAAACCAAACTGATAATTTGGTATCAATGAGTTGTGTTCAATATA